TTTTTCATTTATGAAAAACGGTTTAAAGTAAAAGGAAACATGAAGTATACTTGATTATTATTTTACTTATAATGCAGATATTGTGCTCTGATACTATTATGAAATTACTGTTTTTTCTTTTTGCAACTATATTCATTATTATATACTCTTTTGTAAGTACACGATCTTCCTAGATAATCTTATAACAATTAATCGTTTTATAATCGAAACTTACTCGATAGATTGGAAAAAAAACCAAAATGATTGAAAAAATTTTATTTTAAATTGCGTTTTGAAGCTTCGTTAACGCCTCTGAAAAAAAATTTTATTGTTTGTTTTTATATTAAGATGTTTTCTCAATAAAATAGACTGTTCCGTGAGAAAAATTTCATATATGAATACATGGATCTTGATCTGATATATACATAAAAATAGTCTATTATAATTTTTTATTTTTTCTAGAAATGTGATTGAATTCAGAAACTATGAAATTAAGGCCAGCATACTTGGATTTACTAAAATTTTTTCATACTATAATTATTTTTATTTTTATTTTCACAATTCAAATATATCAGAAAAAAATAAAAAATAGACAAAATACTTTCAGGTGATTAACGTAGTTCCAGCGTGGTATAGTATAGTCAGAGCATTTACTATAGACAAAAATTTAAAAGCCACGGCACACAGACGTTCACACATACAATCACATGGTGTTAGTCTAGTGATCTGGCAACGTTGCTCTTGAAAACCGTGAAAGATTTGAATTTCCCGCTTTTTATGCTACACTATTTCAGGGAGCGTTGCGCACGGCGTTGCCAAATCACTATAAGTTGTTAAGTGAGCAGGTTAGAAATGGATCGAAATTTATTTTTTAAAATTATTATATCTCGATAACAAAACGGTGAGGTGCTATTTTTATTTTTTTAACTTATTCTAAAAACATTTTTCAACACTCTCCTAATTTTTTTTTCCAATTCTGTCGAGAGAATTTTTTAATATAATAAAAAATAGTTGGAGAGACCGGACATTTTACATGCTTTAGATGGAACATGACCCTCAAAATCGCCAACTTTGACTTTAAAAATCTCGCGATCTAAACGGTCAAAAATTGTGAAATTTCAGGAATTTATAAATAAAGCTATTCTGAACCCGTAAAAAAAATTTCAGCCGAATCTGTCGAAAAGTGATTTCATGCTGGAACTACCTTAAATAGCAATAGAAGTGATTTTGAGCGCTCTATTGTCAAATGACCGTAGCATATTGAGGTAAATGTGTCGACAAATGTAGTCTATACGTTAATGTTTGCTGCACGTATGGTGTTGTAGTCCAGTAACGTAAAGCGTTGTTACATTTAGTTCACGTAACTCCTAGCACATACAAATATGTGTATATACGGATGTACATATGTGTGGGTAAGTATATAGAATGTGCAGTTCTCGACAAGCTTCACTATCACAAGGGCACTATCTATTTATATTCGTGAATCTATACTACTAGTTGCAGTAGTAGTAGTAGTATTATAGAATATATTCGAACAGAGAGGGTCGAACATACAGTGGGTAATGTTTCATGAGAAGATATTTAGTTGTCGTGTTGGTACGTGTGAATAATTTTTTTTTTATTTTTCGTAAAATCGTAGACAGAATTTTTATACTTTATTTTATTATATAAGCGACCTGTATATATTATCCGATACAATGGCTTTGAATTTACACTTATATTACAGGAAATGCATAAATTGTGTTTGTATGGAGGAATACAAAAAATTTAAGTAATAATAATAATAATAATGGCAATAATAAAAGAAAGGTATGATAGTATACTAGGTTATATAAATTTCTTGAGGTAGTTCGTGTGACATCTATTGGTTTTTATTTTTATCTATTTTTTCGGAATCGGTTTTTTTTTGTTATGAGGCCGCAGTAGCCGGTCTACTCAAACTGTCCATAAAAGTTATATGGATAGCATGTTTTTACTTTCTCACGTTCGATTTTCTAACCCACATAATTCTTTGCTGGTGGCGTTAGCTGAGCTGGTGTTAGTATTTGTGGTAGTAGTGGCGACATAGCAGTTGGTGGTAGATTTCTTCTTGCATCCATCAACATACGACGATCAATCCACAGGAGAATCGAACAACCCTTCGACACGCCAATCCACTAGATCGACGGTTTTACTTCGGGTAAAGCGGATGAAGACGAGCAACTCTTATAAATATACCTCTAACCGATCACGCGACCTCCATAGGCCAATCTTTCACACCGATCTTCCATGACCAAAGTCTCTTCAATCTTATATAAAATGTTCAAGGTACCTACTTTATTTTTCATCCTGTCAAACTTTTACTTACTAACTTCATTGTAGAAAATTTTATACCCTAAGTTATGCTTTTGGTATACTTCGCGAGTTTTTTTTTTCAATTTGAATATTTCTTTAACCCCGGCGAGACAAAATTTATATATGAGACTTATTTTAATTGATTAAAAATTACTTATGTTCTTTCACTCTGATGCTCGGAGTATAGAAATGAAAATTACTTTAAATTCATTCCCGATTGTATTATTTACAGAGTAAAGTTGATAAAAATAAACGTTATTTAAAATTTTTAATTTTATTATGTTGCTCCTACAAGAGCAGTCCTGTTACAGCACCTATTTTTTCCCCGTGTAACTTATTCAATATATGGCAGTAAAATCGTTGGTTATTAAAGGGTTAATTTTGTATTCATCCACGCGAAAAAATTTCCTGATGTATAGCCAGAGATATCCATGTATGGCCACATTAGAAAATTTGATATATGTCCTAATATGTCCATGATGGCCTGATGTGGCTTTATATGTTCATATGAGTCCTGATATACAGTCCTATATACTCATGCATAAAATTTTTTGATCAAAGATAGTGTTAAAAATCTCCGATGAAGGGCGCATGATCGCTGAATCGTCTCCTTACAATAAAAGTTAAGCTTAAGGCCTTAATTTCTAAAAGATCAATTTGTTTGTCCCCGCTTGAAAAAGGTTTATATGTTTCAAAATATATGATTAAATATATTGATATTATAATATGATATATGGAACGATATATAAAATCATATCTATAATTTTGCAACAATAATATAAAAAAATCTGGAAAACGGTTGACCCTAAAGGCCATCCTTGCAACTTCCCGCCAATTCCATACCTAAACGCTTGAGATTACACTTATGCCGTTTCTGAGCTCTTCGAGCTCAAAAATACAATTTGTGTGTTATTTCGAGCTCTCCGAGCTCAAAGAAATAGCTTTTGTATGCTTTTGAGCTCTTCGAGCTCAAAAGGCTGATAGCAGTTTAATAAAACAGTATTTTTTGAATTTTTAAACTGCAATAATTTCTAAATGAATGAATCGATTTTCACGTGGTTGGCAGTATTCCACGCACTTTGTCAGAATCTATGATATACTTTTGAACACAAACTGATCGAACCGAAAATCGTAGAGAAATTTGAAAAATTCACTTTTTTCGAATTTTTTCGACAACGATAACTCACGAACCAATCAACCAATTTTCACGTTCTTGGTAACGATCGACGTGATTTTTTGGGCTCTCATAAATATTCTATTTCGTCAAAAATGAGCCAAAAAGAAATCTCGACGTTATGTGAAAAAAAACACTTGTTTTCGAAATTTTTCGTTTTCAATAACTCTCGAACGAATCAACCGATTTTGATGGGACTGTGGCAATTGACGTGGTTTAACCAGTCCAACAGCGATCGACGTATCTTTTCAAGTTAAAGAGCTTATTAGTTTTTGGAAGTGATCGGTGAAGCCATTTAAGAGATTTTTTGAAAAAATATTTTTTTTTCAAATTTTCCGTTTTCGATATCTCACAAACGAATCAACCGATTTTGATCGGTCCAACGGTGATTGACGTGGTTTTTCAAGGTTAAGAGCTGATTAGTTTTTGAAATTGATCAGTGAAGCCATTTAAGAGATTTTTTGAAAAAATATTTTTTTTGAAATTTTCGTTTTCGATATCTCACAAACGAATCAACTGATTTCGATCGGTCCAACGGTGATCGACGTGGTTTTTCAAGGTTAAGAGCTGATTAGTTTTTGAAATCGATCGGTAAAGCTGTTTAAAAGTTATTCCAAAAAAACCATTTTTCGAAAATTTTGTTTTTGAGATTTCTAAAAATCTAGCGAACCGAATCGATTCAAATTTTCACGAAATTTAATGGCTATGATACTCTTTGGATCGCCACCGATTTCGATCCGATCGGCCAAGCCGCTCAAAAGTTATAAGAGGTTTACATACATACACGCACACATACATACAGCCGCACGGACACCATCGCGGGAATAGTCAGGGAAGCTTCCTAGGACCTCAAAACGTCAAGATCTGATGAAAACTCGATTTTCGAAAAACGGGGTAAAAACAATAACTTCCCGATTTTTGAAAATTTTCAATTTTCTTAGCGGGAAGTTAAAAATATATTGTAAATAAATATATCATTCTCATGTATAAATTATATATTCATCAATATATTTGCTTCATGTATGCACGATCCATATGTGTATGGGTACAACTTTTTATATATTGATACCTTATACTAAAAATAATGTATCGATAAAAATTACGGAAGCCTGGTTGGCTCACCGTCCACTTACGAAAAAGTGGCGCTCCTCTCGCCCACAAGTTAACTAGTGCACATGTCCACTAGTGCACTTGTGGACTCGTGGAGGCGACGCGATGATATTAGAAATGCCCCTTTTTTTCATGCCGCCATTTTTGTCATGCGCACATTCAAAAATAACGCCGGATTGTTCACATTTTTTATCACAACATGCAGAGACTAGTCGAAACGTGTTGAAATCTCGCTGTGAATTGCACATAAGTTGCTGTTATAAAATTAATTAAATTATATTAATATATTAATTTTCTAGCTATTATTGTGGTAAAAGTACTTATGAAAAAAATTCATTATGAATTTTGTAGAAGTGTCCGACAGTAAAATGTCAGTGCGCTTACCATCAGTAACAAATAATAGTTTAAGTTAAGCACACAAACTATTCGTGGATACTTTCCAAATGTAAGTGGGCTTACATTTATTAATGAAAATAATCAAAAGTGTGGACTTAGCATAGTCAATGATAAATTCGAATTGTTGCCTGGTGTAAGTAAATATGAAGTTCACAGTTGCAATATTTTAAAAGGTAATTTTTTTACTAATATTTAAAGTTCAAAGTATTAATATTATTTTCATATATTCAATAGATAGTAAAAGTAATATTTTTTAAGAAGTTTTGTTATTGGAAATTTAATAAACGTAATGTAGATAAACCAGTTTATAAATTACACCGCAATAATACTTTGACTTTACTTGGTTATATAGTTTATAATTTTATTTTAAATACAAAATCTAATTATTATTTTGATTTCAACAGAGCATAATGTCAATGATATAAAGAGAAAAAGGATTACTGAGATAATGAGAGTAATTGAAGGAAAGTCAAGTGATAAGTCTGCATCAGTTGAAAACCAAGAATACGAAGTAAGTTATAATTCTGTTTAATTTAGTTGTAATCTAGTTTGCGTCAAGTCCATAAGTATCTTGTATACAATTGCTTGTCACTTATTATTAGTATGTATCATATCAACATGAATATTTGAATTGTCTAACCAAAAAGTTTTCAACAGGTACCGGCTAAAAAAGTTAAAAAAATCATATTCGTAGGATGGAGACACAAAGCAAATCCGCAAGATAACCGTTACGTACAAATGAAAGGATTTCTGGGTGGAATAAAGCAAATTGAGGTGAATAATGGTAAAGAGTATACTTTCGAAGAAATAAAGGAAATGTCAATTGCAGCAATGACAAATGAATTTAGTGAGAACACATTAAAAAATTCAAGCATTAAACTAGCCACTAATAATGAAGAAGAATTTGAAGATTTTACCAATTTAAATGGGAAGAAGTGTAAATTTTGGGAATTTATAAACCAAAAACTTAAAATGAAAAACTCCCAACTACGATTATTTTTATTGAGCCTGATAATATCCTAATAAATCAGGAATTATTAGTGAAACTCTATTATTTAGGATTAAGTAAAATAGGTGATCTTCCATCAAGTTTAAACACAACTATTGGTCAAAACTTCCACGGTACACCAGTGTACATGCCACCGGAAATATTAATACGTAATGAACCAGGAACCACTCATTCGGACGTATGGTCTATGGCTTGCTGTATAGTGGAGCTGTTTTCTGAAGAAAAAATATGGGAAGTTTTACCAAACTTAACTTAAATTTTTTAAATTTTAATTTTATTTTTCTGAGAAATCTTATTTAATCGATAAGAAATTTTTTTTAACGTGTTCTATAGTTACTATTATTCATTTCAATATGCTTTTTATCCATAATTTTTTTCGTTTAAATTATAAAAATCACGTTTTAATCGAAATCACGATTTTTAGGCGAGAGTAGAGCATACCTGTGCGCTTTGCGCTTAAGGCATGCAATACATGGTTCTTTACTAATTTTTGTTCAATACAACATATTAATTGACGTAGAAATTTTTGAAAAAAGTAAAAAATTGGAAAATTGGCCATAGATGGTTATATATGAAACTTTTTTTTACATGTCAAGTTTAATATCATCATTCATCAAATTTTTAGTAATTGATCCTCTAAAAGCAATATTATTTTACAAATTTACTTAAAATTTTGGATATTGTATAATTAAAAATATTGAGAAATAAAGCAAAAATTTCTTAAATTATAATTTTTCATCCCCGTCAGCTATGTCGTAATAACAATTGCCTAGCTGTTATTTTCCGAAAAAATACTCAAATACAGAAAAAGATAAAAGTAACCGCAGCCTGTTGACAACGAAATGGTCCATCGTCAATAATATGGAAATGATCCATCAAATATCGAGAGACAGCCCGAGGCGTTTCAAATTAATCTGTATGATGAAAATGTCCACCGTATACTCTAGTATATTTATGTCTCTGTTGTCGAGATCTATCCATACATATAATACAGTGTGTGTAATTTATATGGCACTCGCAGCTAGTTCATACCACAGTACTATAGTTGATTGTTGATGCATTAACTGTTCTTGACATTGAGAACAAGATGAGGCACAAGAGGTGAAGGTGCAGAGTCTACACAAAGACAAACCACCCCAGTGTAATAGTATGGTTGAGAGTCCTAACTTACCCTGTTACATAGCTCGATTTCTCATCCATGCTCCATGCTCCACACTCCCAGTCCTATAAATAGCAGTGTTGAGTACAGTCCTCGTCTTTCATGAAGTCAGTTGGTGAATGCGATTCTCTGTATCTGTATCTGAGAGAATTGCTGAGAACTTAACTGATATGTTGCGCCGTCAATCCTGGATCCATCTCGGATTTATATTGAATTTTAATGTGTAGTACTAAGCCTGTACTTATTTAAGTACATACATAGAAATATTTAATACGATACATAGGTATATTTAATATAAATGGTAGATGGTAGATGGTAGATGGTTAATGGTAGACGGTAAGTACACAAGGAAAGGTTTAGAAATAAAATACAAAACCCGGGCTTAAGCTTTAGTTACTTAGTTTTGCTGTGCGTGATGCGGAAGGGGGTTAGATATATAGAGTGAGTTCGGCACACTCACCACCGCAATGTCCTCCCTTGTACTGTCAACTAATGGCATAGCTCTGCGAGGGTGGAGTACAAGTTAAGTTCTCTTGAGAGATAAGAGAGGAAAATAGAGAGAGGGTGACTTAACAGATCGCTGAAGCAACCGACGTTCACTACGTATACCTTCACTTGTTATTTTTTCACTTACTACTTCAATGTCTTTCTACAGTAATCACGTCTAGAGAGTCAACATGACTTTCATGTTTTTGACACTCGTATTTTCATTTTTGTATTTATTTATTATAGTTGTTTATCTTTTTTTTTGTCTTTTTCGGATTTAAGCATCGACGACGGTAACTGCTGCGCGATAATGAGGTGAGGGATTTTATTATTATTCTCAATTTTTTTTGTATTTCATTGCAAAAATGAATTTTAAGGATTCAAGTACAGAGAATAGGATTTTTTTAGCAAAATAATTGTGATTAAAAATAAATTTAGCCGTTTGATATTTTATCTTCAAATTTTAGATAAAATAAGATTGAAAATACCAAATTTAATCAATAAGTTTTCATATTAATCATGACACTATTATTGATTTTTGATCAAGACAAATCATGTAGCTTTTATTATGAATTCTAACAAAAAATGGTTACTTCAATTACTTCGAATTATTTCTTTATTTATTAGCAATTTTCGGTAAAGTTGAGTGACGAGAAAAAAAATGATTCTTTCTTTAAAAAATCGTTCTTATTACTTAAAATCGATAAAAAAAAAATTATGTGAATCTATTTCTCAAATTCATTCAAAAAGTATATTTATTTCAAAGTTCGTATGCAGAAAAAAATGGCCTTCCTGTCATATAAAAAATTACCTTTAGGGTCAAATCGATCCTTTTTGACTTACTAGGGTTAAGCAAGAATCCTAAATCTATAGGCTTTATTACTCTACTACACTGACAGAAAAATATACTTGCTCCAAGAAAAAAACTCTTGAACTAAGAGAATCATTTTTCGGAGTTTCATCGTCTTCAATCAAATGAAAAAATTTTGAAACTATGAAATTTTTCATGATTTAAGTAAACTTCACACAATTGAAGATTTTTCAAATGTTATTTATTTATTTATTTATGCAAAAAGGTCTTGAATCAAATTTGTAATTTACGATAAATATTATTTGTCGTGACATTTAATGTCGAACTTTATTGAAATCGATGTTTAGTCTGAAATAAAAAAAAAAATAATTGAAGTTACGCGACATGAAATGATTAAAATAAATATCAATGTGCTGCCATTAGTTATTTCCATATTTTCATTGTATTAATACAATGACATTTTAAATATTTACCGCAAATATTGTTTTTTCACCAATGGATCGTTGTTTCTTGACAATTAAATAATGTCATCGCCAAACATTATGCACATTTGATTGTTCAAATGAAATTGTTGGTGTTCACTGGAAAAATAAATATGATGTGGAATTAAAAATAAAAATAAATATACGAAACAAGAAAATTTTTTCCGAATAAAAGTAATGAATTATGGTCAAAATTGTATTTAATTCTTTACAAATTATAAAAAAAAATGATTGAAATTATGGGATAAAAATTTGCAAATATTAAATGGATTTTTTTTTCATTAATATTCAAGATCTTCACTTGCGTAGAAAAAAATTGTGAAAAATTTTATGTTTATTGTGTGATTAGAGTTTATGGAACTAATAAATATTTTTTCCGTTATTGTTTACGATATTAAGACAATTAACACTGAAATCTTATTTATACATTTGAGTCGACTGTCATAAAAATAAATCCAACTAACAATGGATTATATTATTATTTTTTATTTGTTCACTCCGTTATTTCATAAATATGTAGACATAAAAATTAAGTCATTGACGCGTGGAGTGTTTGCATGAATTTGCGTCGACGGTTTTTAAATTAATTTTTCGTTTTAACCGTGTTTTGATGAAAATCAACGGGAATGTCAATAAGTGGAAATAGAGTATGAATGAGTGGACGAAAAAGAGAGTAAATTATTTTATAAAAGTTGCTTTAGCTATTCCAGTAAATTAAATGAGTCACTCTGATTCAAACCATCATCGATGCTGGCATCCACTTTAAATACACCCGTCAAATATTATGAATTGTACTTTTTACTTTTCAGCGATAAATTTAACGTAAAAAAATCTTTTTTTTTTAATTTATCTTTTCGATGCTTTGTTATATTCAAGAGTTTCAAAAAAAAATTATCTACGTGGATTCGAAAAAGATTTATTTATTTGCTAGTCTATAAAAAAAAAACCCACGACCTTTCCAATTAGTTAGCAATGAAAAATTTCAAGGACATCGATGAAATGAAATCAGTAAACGTCATTGTATAATATAAATTGTTCCACCCCAATCTGATCTATCGCAACGAACAAAGAATGTCAGAGAGTCGTCGAGTCTCTTTGTCGAGGGCACGTATTTCTTTGTTCATATCAGTTCGCAGTAGACTCTCATGAGTTTCACGAATACGAAAGCTTTTCTCGTTTTATACATTCAACACATACACATGTCTATATTATACCAGTGCGATACTCACGGAGGGATGTTGCGAAGAGAGTAAAGAGCGAGAGATAGAGAAAGTGAGATAGTAGTATCAGAGCGACGGATCGATACAGCCCCCAAGGGGTCACATTATGGGGGAGGCTGTGCGGCCTCTGCGATACATGGGGTTACTGTCTTTCTATCTCTCTCTTACTACTTCTCGCTCTCTTTCTTTTTCATAGCGTGTTGGCATATCACATAATGTACAGCATGCTCTCCCTGTACACTATTACTCTCGATTCGTCATCCATTTCTTTTTCTCTCTTTCTCTTCTTCTCTGTCTAACCCCCTAAACTCCCTATTACTATCGTATACACACGTACGCAGTTATACACCCACATCCTTACACACACTTCAGTTTCTTTGTTCACCTCGAAACTTTTCGCACTCACCAATAGTCTGACAGAGAACGGATAAGAATTTTTTTCACCATCGATCGCGCTTCTTTTTACATCTATAGAGCAAGAGGTTCTTTGTCCAATTCTATCCCCCGATTCCGAGAAACAAATTTCGCTTTTTTTTTTCTCTATATAAGGTTTTTTACTCCACTCAATATTATTAATGACACTTGAACTTGATATCTTCATAATTGATTTATATCCTTTTTTGATTTTAATAATTTTTGTCTGTTTGGTTACAGTTCACTTTATTTAATCTATGCATGTACTCCCATTTTCTCAAAATTAGATTATTTACCATAGTATTTTCATTTTAATTTCTGATTAATTTTAGTAATTTTAAATTCATTAATACATAAAAGTAACATTTTACTACACAGAAAAAAAATGCGGTAAAAATAACTACACTTGAAGTACGTTACCATTTACTACAGAATAGACTAAAGTACATATAAACTATAGTTTATTTACGGGTGATTTTAACGTGTAGTAAATCCAACTCTAAATATAGTTGTCTTATAAATGAAAAAATTTAACGGATCGTTTTTCAATGTTACAAAGAAATACAATCATTTTAAATTTATACGATACTAAAAATTATAAGCTGCATTTCGAGCCAAATCGATCACATTGAAACCCGAACCCCTTCAGTTTTAAAAACTCTACTAAAAGCCGTCCGCAGAAAATTTTTAAATCTTCTTACCCAACCCCAAAAAAGTTACGAATTATTCGAAAAAAATGGTTTTTAATTTTTCTATCAGCTATAACTCGCTCGAAAATTGATTTATCGGGACAATTTTTTTTAATTTTTTGTTTTTAAACGTATTTTAAAAAAAAAAAATATAGGAAAAAATGGTTCAAATGGTATCATTGCTTTTTTCGGAGAAATAATAAAAATTTCTCGATGATTACCATTTCAGACTAGTTTAATTTTTTTCTATTAAAAATTTTGAGATCTTATACAGCTTCTAAAATTTTTTCTGAGTAGTGTTCTGTCGATTTCTATGTTTTTTTTAGATTAAAAAAAATTTTATGTTAAATTAAGTTTATTCCTTATAACATAATTCTATAAATTTATGAGGATATTCTAAGAACCTTAGAGATTATTATAAGAAACAAAATATACAAAAAAAAATTATTCGAAAATAATGAAAATAATTAGATTTTTTCGAAAAAGTCCGAAAAAAAATTGGTTGTCGGTTGTTACACAGAAAAAATGAATTATTTGACTCAAGAAATTTTTCTTAGGACCGAAAAAATTTTCTGTTAACTCAAAACTTTTGAATATTGAGTAAATTATAATTAAATAATTACCGTAACTATATACACTCAATTGAGTACCCCTGATTTAAAAAAAACGAATTAAAAAGTATTGGAAATACCAAAATTTGAATTTTTTTCAATACATTTGAATATTGCAAATACTTTTAAATTCTTTCTCTTATTGAGAATTAGTATTGTCAAATTAGGGATTGTATTAACCTTACTTTTGCAGATTACTATAACTCTCACTATATGACTATTATTATAATTATCATCATTTTTATCTCAATGAACTTTTCATGAGGATTAATTTATTTCTTCTCCTTAAAATAGTGATGATACTTTAACTAATTATTAATTAAAAACTTTGAAAAGTAACTAAAATTCATTATAAAAATGACGTAATGAAAAGTACAAAAAAAAATAAATACACAGGTTATAACTTTTAAGTACATTATACTCCGGGTCTCTGGCAACACATTTGATCACGCACTGACGCTACAGTGTCATTAAGAAGATCATAAGTGTGTGTACACGATAGTTAAGTACACTCGATATATAAAAGTTGTACATTTCTGTTTCTCAACTCTCAATAACAGACAACTTTATAGTTCATGTACTAAAACTCATCACATCACGTTCAAAGTCTTCAAAAATAATTAAAAATAAACAAAAACAAAAGAAATGTAGTAAACTATCCTGAAGGGGAATCGAATCGAAACTTTTTACATATTAAACTTTAAATTCTCTTTTATTACTACTGTAATTAATGTTCAAGATAGTAAGAGCTGATATTATTTCATGATTGCTTTAGACATAATTGAAAGCTACTTGGGTTAAAGGTTAAAGATAGGCACTTGACAAAGGCTAATGTAAGAGAGTTGAGGATTTTGATACCTATGAAGGCACAGCTCTAAACAAAGGCATTGTAGTTTTAAGTCTTGAGTGTCTGACTTATGCGGGTGTTGTACTACTTGGTTGCCAACAAAGAACATTTGAAGATTTGTCGTTTCCTTACTTGTTTTCTATTAAATCTCTTGTACAATAAAACTTGTATAAATTATCAAAAGCGTATACAGTTATTTATTCAAGTACATGTTGAAGTTTATTTGTTTTTATAAGTGAATTTATTTATATCAAACTTTAAATAATACTTATTTTTTTTGTTTCTCATTGAAAACTTTACCACACTATTATTTGTTTCTTCTTATTATTCCATTTATTTATTTATTTATTTATTTATTATGCCAAGGCAAATTGCCATATGGCAAGCTTTAATAATACAATGAATTTATAAATATACTAGATAATAATAATAATAACTATAATTTGACAGATTTCTTTAAGACTTTATAACAGTGAAATTTTTAGTAAGACAATTTGTAATCGAATTTTAATAGATTTAACTAAGAAACATATATAAAGAAAGTTCTTCGTATGTATATCTTTGCTTGAGAACTGATCATAGCTATTTCGATGTGTTTAAGAGAAGTTAACTAATAAAAGAGACTCATCATCTTAGAAGTTAATCAAAATCGGATTCTAACAAATAATCAAATAAAGTTAATTTGAAAACTTCAAGGCTACACAGAAAGAAAGGTTCACTTGAGCCAAGAAAATATTTTTCTTCATAATTATTTACTTGGGCGAAAAAAAAATTTTATTTTGACACAAGAAATTTCACTTATTTCAACAAATCAATTCCCTTGCTTCAAGAAATACGTTTCTTGATCCAAGACAATTTTATTTAAGTCAAGAAAATTTTCTTGTTTTGAGAAAATTTCTCTCTGGCTTCAAAAAATTAAGTTCTTAACAGAAGTAAATTTTCTTGTCTTGAGAAAATTTTTCTCTTGCTCCAAAAAATTAAATATCTTGATAGTAAATTTTTATTTATATTTTTTTTGACTAACGTGTCAAATGGGAAGATCAAATAATATTGAATCATTTTTTTTCAGTCAATATGTATAATTGCGAGCTACAATAATCTAAAATGGGTATCAAATATTCAATAAAAAGATTTTCTCAAGATGAGAAAATTTTTTTCTCAGCTGAAGTAGGTGGCGCTGCTTCCCTAAAGTATCTAAAAATCTTAATCAAATATAAAAATTTCTTGTATCAAGTATTTATAATAATTTGAATTAAGAAAAAATTACTTCCACCAAGAATAGAATTTCAAGAAAAATTTTTACTTCAGCCAAGACAACTTCGGTCTTCCTTCGGGCGACCGAAAATTTACTTGAGCCAAGAATTTTGTTCTCCAGCCAAGACATTTTTCTTTCTGTGTACATGAATTTATAATATTTAACGGCAGATTTTGCCAGAGACGTATCATGGTTACAAAACAAATGAATTTTCATAGTAGGACGAAGTAAAAGGTGGTATTACAAAGTTTACATTATTCGTTTTGTTTGCAAGTCTTTGGGAACGTCGAAATACATCTTCTACGAATAATTCTCTTAAATATCTTGGTTTTTCGACTCGTAATAATTTATAGAAATATGTTGCTAGACAGTAAGTTCTTCGTGATTTTATTGATAACCAGTTTAATTTACGCCGATAGGGCGTAATGTGATCATCACGTCTTAAGTTGAAAATAAAACGAATTGTGCTATTTACTGGTCGTTGTAGTTTTAAATCATTGTCTGCAGTAGAGTTAACTAAGACAGCAGAACAATAGTCAATAATAGGTAGTACAGTAGTTGATACTAATAATTTACGAATATCTTGAGTAAAAATATTTTTCCTAACTTTAAGGCTATAAAGCGCCGAATTTACTTTCTTTCCAGTATTTGAGACATGATTTTTCCAGGACAGATTATTACTAACAGTAAGACCCAAACATTTAATCGTAGTTACATAAGGTAATGCGATGCCATCAATAACAATAGGCGGAAGAGAAGCGATATTTAGTAACCTCAGTTTACCAGTAGAACCTAATATTATTGCAACCGTTTTATTCAAGTTTAACTTTAGGCCATGCTCTTTTGTCTTTTATTTAATGTTCAACTTCGATACACTGAAAAATTTGGAATAATCCAACGTGAATTCTTACTCCTACCACTCGGAGTACCAGAGTGAAAAAATAAAACATCGCGTATGAAGTAAATCTGTAGTTTTTATTTAAGCATATTCACAATAAATTTTAATCCCGAAAACATTCGAGTACAAAATTTTTAGATAAAAACAAATTTTTATCCAGCTAAATCAAGTTTCATTTGCCAAATTATTAACAAATACTTCGACCAATTTATATAAAGTCTAATAGTTTGTGAAAATTAATAAATTATATTTTCACAATTTTTGTATCACTTGTGATTCTAGAATAAATCACTTTTAAAATGAAATTTTAGTCTCAATTGTGGTGTGTTTCTTGATGAAATCTTTTGGAATGTCGCTAATTGAGTTTCAATCGGTCAAGCTATCCAAAAGTTATGAGTGGATTACATCCTACAACCCCCTCCCCCTGCCCCACACTCACATACATACATACATACAGACAGATATAGTGAAATTCTCGCAGGAATAGTCAGAGTAGCTTTTTAGGACCTTAAAATGTTAGAATCTGATGAAAAACTTCTGAAATTTTTTTCAATTTTTCAGTTATTTTAAATTAAAAATAAAAAAAAAATAAAAAATAAAAAATTCAATACTTTCATGAATGAATTCATTCAACAAAATTAACTTCCTTCACCATTTATTTATTTTTTTAAGCTTGTTCACATTTTCCCGCAAACAGGAATGATCTCGCGAGCTGAACGCTTTCACGCGTTGCGACAATTTCATTATAAATGATAGAAACGCATGCGTATATCAACCCTTTAGAGAACTCTATTTGCACAAATATATTACATACGGTACGCGTTTTGTTACTGTTTAAACGTATATAATTAATTAAATACATAATTATGAGTTGAAGTAAAAAAGTTTTCATTTTTAGTCTTCAGTACAGCGCACCTTAGTACTTAAGGAATGCAATATTGATGGAATCTCTCTTAAATTTTATAATTTACGGGTTCATTTTGTAATTTTTAATTGAATAAAAATTTTTTTTTTCATTTTTGTTTAGCTTATTTCATGAAAAAAGAAATAAAAAAGGAAGAATTTACTCCAAAAATTTGTTACAGTGTACTATTGTTTTCAATTCTAATTTTATATTCTCCATACATTGAATTATGAAATTTAATTAAATTTCATAGTTCACAAATCCACAAAATTATGATTTCACTTGTAATTTATTGCATAATTAATTATCACATTGAAAATTTTTGAGGATATGAGAACCTCCGGTATATCGACTGCTGGCAATTACTATTATTAACGTGTTGTTTGTGGAATTTAATTGGATGTTAGCATATTAACTCACATTTAATTCGGAAATTATACATGTGCATGAGAAAATCGGTAAGTAGTGCAATGAGAAACCACAAGTGACGTTAGATGCAAGCGTAACTTGGCATTGACTTAGGAGTTAAGCTATGTAGACCCTTTATGCATCTTAAAGTGAACACAATTCCGTCGCTACTCTATAAATAGCGCTAACCAGATTTGCTATATTAATTTATGTGCAGTTTATAACAATGTAACCTTATTATAAAACGTTGAACTTACCATTATCAAGAATTAGCTTAAAAATTTCTAAGAATGTTCTTTTAATACACTATATTCTTAATTATGATTAAAAGGAAACTTTGATGTGGATTGACGAAAGAATCTCTCGTAAAATATTCTTTCGTCAAAGTATGGTAATTATTCCTAGTAATGATAGTTGTAACTGAAACAATTAAAAATTAGAAGTGTTTTTTTAAACGTATAAATATCTTGATAAATCCATGCTCCGTGAATGTAAGGCCCTTACATTCACGCGGCGTGAATTTATCAGGAATTTTTTACGTGTAAATAGACATGTCCTTACAAATTAATAACAAAAACTACTTAACCCTTTTGCGACCTCGGTTAGAGCCGAAAAAATGATTCAAAGTAATTTATTTGCCGATAGTTTTATTTTGCCGAAAATTATTAAAAATTTCGTTTTTTCTGCATACCATGTAACGCGAAAGTGCTGCTTTCGACACGTCCAAAAATTTTTTTTGCCCTCTGGGCGGAAAGTGGCAACTTTAGTCCCACTGCGCTAAACAAAGTTGCCGCTTTCCGCCTTCCTCGGACAAAAAAATATTATACAGCCCTTGGGAAGTAAAAAAGAAAACCTCAGATCACATGTTTGTTGACCTCGGCTTCGCCTCGGCCAACAATTACATGTAATCTGAGGCTTTTCTTATTTTCCTTCCCAAAGGGTGTATTATACTATAACTTCCCGCTAAGAAAATCGAAGAAGTGTGTGTGTGTGTGTGTGTATTGTGTGTGTGTGTGTGTTTTGAACGACGTGACCGATTTCATCGCGGTTGGTGTCATTCAAAAGGGCTTCACT